ACACACACACACACACACACACACACACACTCACACTCTGAACGGGACGGGATAGGAGCAGAAGGAGGTTCTTAAAGAGACAGAGGCCAATTTCAAGGCGTTTAGAAGAGGAAGTGATGAGAAGATAAGTTTATTTTCTATTTAAACATAAAAACAGCATTTTAATAATAGCTAAAGGTGACATAGATACTTTATTATGGTATAGTATTTAAATATATGCCTGAGAAACACATAATATTACCCCTTTAATTGTTTCAGTGAGCTGTAGGCAAATAATAGGATTTGTGCTATTTTAGCTGTCCATCGTAGATTGCTGTTTTTGCCTGTAGAAAGTCTTGAGTTCTCGGTTCTTTTTCAGCTTGCAGGTCCTCTTTTAGTTTGGTTATTTTGACGTTTTTTGCCTTTGAACACAGATGAGATTTATTTAACTGAGCTCTGGTCAGTGTTAGCTTTGCCTCCATAGCTAGCATTTTTGAATGCTGATTATGTTCATCTGTTAGCACCTCCTGTGCTAACTGTGCACTTTGATTCATGAGGTTCTCAGTGTTTGTTGTATTTTCCTCTTTTCTTTTTTCCCCCTGCTCTAGGAGGAGTAAGACACTTTTCCCCTCTCTCCTGCCTTCCGTTATTTTTTCCCTGCTGTGCTGCTCGGAGCCTCCTCTACGTTTTCACCCGAAACRGAAAATTATGGGTTTATTTTTATGGATTTGATTAGCTGGTCTCTTAATAAATTTTTGCAACATGTTTTCTTTTTTTTTTTTTACATGAGAGGACATGGGACCTCTGTTCTGCTCTGTTCAACTGGCATATATTGGATTTTGATCATTGGATTTCTACAGATTGGCTTGGCGGTCTCCAAGTGTTCTACAAAACAGCGTTGGTGTTTATTCAGGCCATTTCCTGGCTGTCTGACCAATATGAAGGATTGCCGTTCTATCAGCACTCAGATTCACGCCCTGTGCAAGCTGGGACTCAGTTGGCAAGAGGTTCTGCTGAGGGTTGTTTACTCGTCTCCTTTGATTTATTGCACAGGACTTTATTTTTCTTCTTTTTTATTTAATGTTTTTTTTTTCACTTTTAGTAGTAAACAAAAAATAAACTGAAAGGAAAAAATAAGTTAAATGCTAATTGTTTTTACCGGAGGTCCAGGTAAGCCATCAACACCAGGCAGTCCATTTTCACCTTTCCTTCCCTGAAAAAAAAAACAACAAAATATTACAAAATAAATAAATCTGAACAGACAACTGGAAAATAAAAATTTAATGAGTAAAATACTAGTAACAGTAATTATCAGGCAATTCAGCTCTGTACATATCTGTAATACAACCTGATAGGTACCAGGCTGGTAAATACAAGATAAGTACCCAGTCTGTACCTGATAAGTTTTGGGTATGCACCCTGTAAGCAGTGACATCCAGTCACGTTAAGTCATGGAAAGGAAAAAACAACAACAACACCAATAAAATACATTTAATGATTATATTCAGGGGATTCTGATGTTATCAGTCCATGAAATGGACGTTATTAGGCGTTATCAGTCCCATGCAATGGCTTCAGAATGTCCCTACTGTGCCTTCTAGCCTTCAGACTGTCCCGACAGTGCCCCCTAGTGGGTTAATATATCAATGACTGTGAATGTGTAAATAACCAAAACATATTGTAATAAATTTTTTGTCCATGCCTGTTAGGGATCCTTGCTCATGCTGTCTCTGTCGGTCCCAAACCCTCTACCCATTGCCRTATTGGAAGGCCACAATATACACTTGTCGGAGGGCGGTGTCTTTAGCACTAACCATGTCATTTTCTCTAAGGTTAACCTKAGTGGCTTTAAGCCTCATATTAACCTGATTTTTATGCCTCATTTTAACCAGCTGACAATCAGAAGCCATTCTATGGGACGGGGAACCTGCTAACCGGCACAGGTGGAACATTCTGAAGCCATTGCATGGGACTGATAACGCCGAATAACGTCCATTTTATGGATGATAACATCTGAAGCGGGTGCTATATTTGCCCAGTGCATTGTACTATAAACTCATTTTCCATTTAAGTTAAACACATTTTTATATTATTGTATTTAAAATCACTGAATTTTCTCATTTCCTGACCAGGAGGCAGCAGAGACTTGAATTGTGCGATCCTTCACAAACTGTGTTGCATGCTAGACAGTGAGAGTGGCTTGCTGTGTCTCTGAATGTTACCAGTAAAATATTATAAATCAGGGGTTTTCAAACTGTGGGGCACACCAGCCGTCTTGAGGGTGGACATGAGGTAGATCAGGAAGTGGGGGGAAAATGTAACGGTCACACTGCAGGTCTTAGATTAGATTTTTTTTCCGATAAACTTGCCTTTCAGAATGGGAATCAAAGCTGAAACAATTTTCTAAACTGGACTTTTAGTGGAAGCAGCAAATAATGTAAAGATGTAATGACTCACAACTGAGACTAAAGCTTTCTAAGTTGTGAAGGAGAAGAAAAGCCTGGGTCCTGATGGCATTGATGGCCACTTAAGAGCTGTGCAGAGAAGTTGTTTGACATTTTTGTTATGTTTTCAGCATTTTCAGACACTCCTACCTCAAAAAGGTCCTTTGCTTATGGAAAGAGTCAGTGGTGGGCATCAGCCCGCTAAAGTGCAAACCCGCTAATTGCGGACCTAAATATTTTTTTGCATTTTAGCGGACTTACTAATTTTTATAATTCATAAGCGGATTTGCGCTTTCTAAAGTTAAAAAGCAGTAC